ACGTTGAGTGGAAAATACGCATGCCGTCTATCAGCAACCATACACTCAATGTTAGCGGCTCAGTTGAGAAGGTCAGCTCGTGGCGGAGTCGACTTGGTCTTGTGGACTTCAAAGAAGAGACCGTACCAAAGACCATCAAGATCCTGGGCGATGATCAAGAGTTGACGGCCATCATCGGCGATTACGAGTATCAGCCGCATTGTGGAACTGCGTCGACCAGCCTCTACAAAAGGTCGACGGAATCAGACAATATGTACTTGTTCCTTGATCCCAATCCCATTGGTCGATCAGATCATGACAGCTTCGTTTTCAGCCAAGACAATACGCGGAAGCATTATGGAGACAGCCGTATCACGCTTGCTCATGTGAATCCTGCCTGGCGACCCTGGCATGTAAAGGACGGCTGTGTGCAAGCTATTACTACCACGATTCAAGACGTTTGGACTTCCGTCTCGATGCCAATGGAATCAGCAGGTGTTCCATTGGACGTTGGGTTCCTTGAGGAAGAACGTCTCCTTGAGATCGGCTTGCCAAGTTGCTCCCAGGCGCTCACTTGCCTCGACGTCTTCCTCCACGACCAATTTTCCGTCCAGGATTTTGCAGACTACTCATGGGCCTTAGAACGCGCTAAGACACTGCCTGCATGCTCATCATGGCAGCCTCTACAATCGGAGTCGCTCGAACATTGCTTTTGCGCGCCATCTTATCCGGAGATTCTATGGAGTGTAGATGAGAAAGGCGTAGCGACGGCACACGAAGATCGCCAAGCCGCTGCCACATTCGAGCGCGTCGTCAAGCAGCGCCCTGCGATATTCCAGCTAGAAGCATCTAGTGACGCGACGGGGACACGTGTTCAGGTTGGCGTCGATGTCATGTCTTTGGTGCATTGTGCTAAAGGGAGACTTCCAAAGGCTGTATCTGCGACCACAGCCTGGAGACTGGTTACCGATCATGCCGACTTACCCCCTCAACCCTTCCCAAAGTTTCACTTACAAAGCAACGTGAGCAATAGTCAGTCATCGGCGACTATACTGCCAAAATACTTGCGAGGTGCCCAGTTGAAAACTGTCTCATGGATGTTGAGTCAAGAGCTAGGCAGAGCAATTGCTATCTGTGAAACTGAAGAGTCGATTCACCCCGGTCTAGGCTGGAGAGCAGAGGCTCGGGTCGAAATGGAACAGATTGTCCGCGGTGGTGTGCTCGCAGATCAACCGTCATTCGGCAAGACCGTCGCCAGCATCGGGCTCATCCAAAGTGAATTCGATCAGATCCCGCCGGAAAAGCTTCTGGAGCACAGTCAAGATCTGACGTGTGAACAAGCTCATTTCTTGGATTCAGCAGCTACACTTGTTGTCTGCCCACCGCACATCACGGAGCAGTGGAATACAGAGTTGGAGAAGTTTCTAGGCTCAAAGAAGTATGAAGAGTACGATGTTCTCGTCATAGAAAGCTGCAGTCAATTGAGGAGCCTCACTATCGACGACCTTCGCCGAAGCAAAGTCATCGTAGTGTCGTGGACGTTGTTTGCTGACGAAGCTTACGTCTCAGAGTTAGCAAAGTTCGCCGCACTGCCTGAGCCCATCGTGACCGGTCGGCATGCTTTTGATTGCTGGATGAAGAGAGCTGTTGGTGAGATACCAAGTCAGTTGGAGGTGTACCAGCATCATCCATACAAGGAGTTCCAACGGTTGACGAACGAGCTAATGAATGAACGGCTTCAGCATCGCGAATTTCAAGCGACCTTGCCTATCAGCATTCAGCATGGTAGCGCGTACCAGTCGTTCAGCACCATGAGGACGAAGCCAGGTTCCTCGAAAAACGCAAAGGCGAAAAGTTTCACCAAGATAAGACAAGACAACTCATCACACCTGACACCATTGCTTCATCTCTTTCGCTTCAACCGAATCATCGTCGATGAGTACCATTATCTCAATGATACCAACAAGATCTGGAGCAACTTCATTGCGACGAGTATCAAGCAAGTCTCTGCTCACAAACGCTGGGTCCTATCAGGCACGCCAGCCTTAGCCAACTTTTCTGATGTCAACCAGCTGGCATCGTTCTTAGGAGTCAAACTTGGTCGCTATTTCTGCGGCGACGGCTCGGTTACGACATCCGCGGAGAAGATGTCAAAGCTTGATCAGACCGACGTTGAAGGCTTCTTGTCGCAAACGGAAGTGATGTCAAGGCAATGGCATGTGGCGAGACATCAACGGGCACAGGAGTTTCTCGATGACTTTGTGAGAGAGAATGAAGCCGAGCTGCAGCACATTAACTGCTCAGAAAAGCTCATATCGGTGGATCTTGATGCTGCTCATCATGCTGTCTACCTAGAGCTCTCCCAATACCTCATCTCTCAGAGAATGCAGATCAAGAAGCTCAACAAGAAGTCGGGCTCAGACAGGAGTACCAGACTAAACGACAGCTTGGAGAACTCCGCGAGTGCCGAAGAAGCGCTGCTGAGGTGTGCATTGCTCTTTGAGACCGAGGAAGGCAAATCTGCGCTCGAGCTCCTAATCGAGAAAAGGTCGCAGCAGTTACGCAGCACGAAGAAGGAGTTGCTAAAACTTCTGTCAAAATTCGAAGGCTTGATGAAGAAGTCTAAGAGCACTGAGTCGACCATTCAAGATCTTTATGGTCATTTCAAGAAGGATATTTTGATGTACAAATGGCTCGGAGATGATGACTCCAGTCGGATTGTTCGTGCTTTGATCAAAGAAGCCCAGAAGACACCCAAATCAGGGCTTGCTGATGTCGCAGACATGTCTAAAGTCCAGCGCGAGCGATTGATCAAACAGGAACTATCACAGCTCCGAGATGCTGCCCTCGAACTTGCCCATAGGACAAGGTCAAAGCGTTTCATCGTATCTATTCGCGATCATCTTGAATTTACAACCTTCGACAAAAACACTACCCACTGTAGCTCGTCTGTCTGCAAGGGTGTGGCTAGCATTCAACAACTCTTCTCGATACCGCACTGCGGACATACTGCATGTAAGGAGTGTCTTGCATTAAGAACCGACGACGAGACTTGCGTACATACTGGCTGCAATTCCTACGCAAGCGAAGGCAACCTGATCAGGATGGCTGATCTTGGTGTAAGCAACGACAAACATACGGGTCAGAGCTTTGGTAACAAGCTTGAAGCTATTGCCCATCTTGTTCAAGGGCTTCCACAATCTGATCAATGCATCGTTTTCGCGCCAAACGAGGAGATCATCAGCATTCTCGAGACCGTGTTCGACCACTGTAATGTCTCTTACCACTCGCTGGGCGGAAGTCGGCATAAGGCGTCGGCAGCGAAGCTTATGGAGGACTTCAAGACGAACACAAATCCCAAAAAGAGGAAAAAGCTCATCATACTCAATCTGGGAAGCGGGTCAGCAGCTGGCGTGTAAGTCCTTCTCATTTCCATGGACAGTTCGCTTGTACTGACCCTCTACAGCAATCTCACAGTGGCCAATCACGTCATATTTGTTTCGCCCTTCTTGGCAAAGACGCAATATGACTACGACTCGGCCATGACACAAGCTATCGCTCGAAGTCTTCGTTATGGCCAGCAGAAGAAGGTTCGTATATATCATGTCATCGCAAAGCGTACGATTGACGTGGATATCCTCGAACACAGGCACAGACGCAGCGACGCGATCACCACCATGGAGGCCGCAGTCGAATTACCAGAGCCATCGTCTACAAAGAAAGCAAGGACGAAGCTTGTCAAGAATAACAAGGGGGAGATGATACTGGTGCCGCTTAGATGGCTAGCAGATGAAGCCAAGCGAAGAACGATGGAGATTGAGGAGACGACGGAGCAGTTCACCTCCCTGATCAACTTTTCCGAGACGTTCGACCAGGAGGATGACGAGGCTTGAGGAGGCAGGTGTACAGCGGAAGATTGTTTGCGGCGATGTTTCGACTTCATTTCGTGTCTTCTTTACAGACAGCTTCCCTATTATACCCCAACACAGTATTTGTACCATGTACGCATAGAGTTTTTTTGCATCAGCAGGGCGTACAGTGCAGTTGGCCTGATACCCCCAAGTCGCATTTCCAGCGCTCAATGCACATCATCTGAAGTCGCGGGGATTGTGGATCGAACCTAGTGAGTCCATCATATTTACTGCACCTACGTTTAAGCAGCTATGGTGATGTAATAACGATCAGCGCTACCACCACCGTAAAACTACCATGTTCCCAATCCGGCGAGCGGCATGCAAGGTTAGCGGCATTCGTCTAACCTGGTAACATCAGCCCATCAGCCTCAGCCCGCCCTGCTGATCGTAAGCAGGACCATCATCACCACCAAACCCCACGCTCACCGGTAAACAAAATCCGTACACATGGGCTCCCGTACCCCAACCAAGCCAAGTCAGCTCTCCACTTGTCCTCTGAACGGTGACTTGAACGGTACAAAAGCTACCCAAGCGGCCGCGCTATCCGTGTCTGCAACTAGCAGCTACCGGAATAGGATGATGCGTCTTTGAATAGTCCATGGGGCTAGTTCACCGATGAGGGTAATGCTGGGTCACAGACTTCGATGGTTTTCAGAAAGAGTTACTTGGAAGGGAAGGTTGGGCTGGGAATAGGAGCGGGTAGGAGGGGGACTAAGGGTATCGGGTATGTGTGGATGCGGCGTGGTATGGAAAGAAGTCATATGGTGACGCGGATGGCTGTGGCGTAGTTGACCCTGTCTCATTGGTGTGAGGCATGGACAAAGGGTTCTGCACCAGAGCATGGCACTTTATGGCAATGAAGACTTGAGACTTTGATTCGTTCGTCCCTGGCTTTCCTTCCTGCTTCTCAGATAGTACAATATTGGTGTCAAAAACCAGACCCTTTTCCATCGCCAAACGCCTCGCCCAATGCTACACCGGTCTTGGTACCTACTCCAATCTGAAGGCCTTGACGCGGCTGGAGGTATTACGCATGCGCGCTTTCGCTTGAACAGCACGCTGTACTCGAACGTTTCTCTCTCGCATTCTACCCTTCCGTCTGAACGCTTATATGACCCATCGGTAACTGGCGTATCGACCGGCTGTTTCTGACTTTCGGATAATCTTGACGACAGAACCTCTCCTCAGACCGAGATATTTGGCGACTGGGTCCGTGGACTGGATTCTGGGGAGCTGTGTCTGCTTCAGACGGTATCGCTGAAGTAGCTGCTGCTTCTCCTCGTCACTCAGCAGGACGTGCTTGGGCACCAATTCGTGCTTTGTGATGTTGACCAGCAGATCTTGCTCGACAAAGACCTCTACACCGCCCTTGGGACCGTCGGTGATGCTTGTCGCGCCACGGAGGAGTCGAAGGGCCATACCCGTCATGGGCTTTACGGTGACCATGATGCCGGAGTGGAAGGAACCGTTGACAAGATGGGACATGTAGTCGCGCAGTTGCTTCATTCCAACGTTCTCGTCGGCGTTGAACTCAATCCAGATGGTGCCGATGTTGGGTAGGGGCTCTGGGTTCTTCTTGGTCGGGGCATCGGTATACCTTCGGAGCATGTCTTCGGAGGGCTGGCAGGAGAAGTTGAGGCGCGAACGGCTGGTTAGGGTCAGTACTGCGGCCTAGACATGGCTGTAGTTGGCGCATACTCAGGCTCTCCGTCTTCGCGCGCATATTTCCTTGAGAACTCCTCAAGTGACATGGTCATGTCATCTTCGACAATCATGTAGCCCTTTGGTAGAGTCAGCGCGCAGTCCATTGTCGCCCAAAGCGCAAGCGCATGCGCAACGCACCCGGTCGTTCATCATCTCCTTGGTTGTCCGCCAAACCCTCCACAGGCGAATCAGAGACGCGCTGTACTTTTCGCCTTCCATGCTTGCGGTCGGTGACGTCGATGCGGGGGAACGAGTGTCGGGCGGTGGTGTCGGCGCAACAGGTGAGTGAAGACGGGCGCGTCAAAGAAATCTCCAGAAGTTCCATAGGCAGGCCGGGCGAGAGGCTTGGCGTGCAGCCCTAGCGCGCGGACCTGGAGCTTGGAACCCCACCACTTCCGCCCATCTCGAACTTGGACATGGCCTCCTCAAACGAAATCCCCAACCTAAGAACTCTTCTCGGACAAGGCCGCGGCGGACCATCAAGAGGCAGAGGACGTGGAAGAGGTGGTCTTGGAGGTTCCAGTGAAACAAGGGCCCAAGTTCTCGACGATGCCGTCAAGGGGACTGATCAAGATGCGGCGGGGAGCAGGGTGAGCTGTGTAGAGCTAGGTTATCTTCACGACCCATACGCGAAGCTGTTCGCGACACAACAGACGACGAGGAAGCTGCCGTTACTCAACAGAGGCACTTATGTCCGCACCTCGGCCATCGACCTTCTCGTCGCCAAGTTCCTCGTCACCTACCCTTCGTCGGCGAAGCAGATCATCTCTCTAGGTGCTGGCACCGACACGCGATTCTTCCGCCTCCTCGACCTATACCCTCAAACGCGCCTCGTATATCACGAAATCGACTTCCCTTCGAATACGCTCGCCAAGATAGCCACAATACAGAGACAGCCGCTGCTTTACCGAAAGCTACTGCACATACCGTCGACTTCAGCCTCCTACCACTCAGACACGTACAACATCCATGCGCTCGACCTACGTACTCTGGCCGACCCGTCGGAAGAGAAGCCCCTCCCTCAGATACCGAACCTGGACCCGAGCATACCTACATTGATCCTGTCAGAGATGTGTCTGGTCTACCTGCAGCCCTCGACAGTGAAATCAATAGTGTCATCACTGCTCACACACTACCTACAACCTGCGACACCTGCGTCTCTCATTCTCTACGAGCCCATCCTACCCCAAGATGCTTTTGGTCGCACCATGATCTCGAACCTCCAGTCCCGCAACATTCACCTTCATACATTGATAGCGTATCCTGAGTTGGGCGACCAACGTGCGCGCCTTCAGGGCTATGGCTTGACACACGGGGCAAAGGTCGCGGACACAAGTACTATTTGGCGAAAGTGGATCGACGACGAGGAGAAGGAGCGCATCGCTGGCTTGGAATTCCTAGACGAACTGGAGGAGCTGGAAATGCTGCTCCAGCATTACTGTGTTGCATGGGGCTGGAGGGATGGCGAAGGCGATATCTTTTCGAAAGCCTGGGCGGGTGTACGGGAGTAGGAAGTAGTTGGCTCTTCAACTCAGGATGCAGGCATAATTATCATTAATGGCCTCAAATCGGAAACGAATATTGGTTCTTTCGCAGCATGCTTGAGTTATGACGTGACCTGCGTAGAGTGAAAGCCACGTGCTTGCGCGCCAGACGCACTTCCAGGGCTCACGCGCTAGACCTGAGGCGGCCTTGCCCGAACGGCGCCGTGAACCCCAGACACGGTGCTTTGCGACAACAAGAACGACCAATTACCCACCACCCGCCTCAAATCTGCGCCGTGTCGTGAAGAAAGCGCATTTCTCGCCAACACGCAATGGTGTAATCGCCGCCTCCACATCTGAATCACGACTATATACGCTCCTTACCCGTCCCGACACAACAAACAAACCAACACGGAGTCGCTCCTGCCATGGCGGTGCGCAACACGACCCAGCCCTCCTTCAACTTCCTCACCGGCGAGGAAGAGGAGCCTACACCCGCGCCTGCGACTGCCAAACGAGAACCTCTCCGCGAAACCTTTCGAACCACGCTACGAGCCTCCCAGAATGCGCCGCACACGGTTGTGCCTTCTGACCCGATCAATGAAGACCTCCGCGCCCAACTTAACACAGTGCGATATGAGCTCGAAACCGCGAAACAAGAAAAGGAGATGATGAAGCTGGAGCATGCGCAAGAACTCCGCGACGCCCAGAACCGCGCCGATGCCGACTTTCGCAAAGCCCAGCAGGTCGAGGCGTCCAACAGCATGACCGCGAAGAAATACGATGCGCTGACCAAGGAGATGTCGGAGGCACAGACGAAGGCTGCGAACGAGCGGCAAGCGCTGGAACGGCGATTGCGGGAGAGTCAAGAGAGGGCGCAATCGTTACAAGAGGAATACGACGAGGTCAAGGAGGAGTTGTCCACGTCGCAACGGCAGAACGAGCACAGATACAACACCCTACAGACAGAGCACAAGGCGCTGAAGGAGAGTGTGGAGGAGATACATGCAGATCTACAGGCCAAGGTCAATGCTCTACAAACGTCGCAGAAGAAGCTTGCGCAGAAGGAGGAGGAAGTCGGTCAGATGGAGGCTGAGGTCTTGCGCCTGAAGGCAATCACTGGAGATGCGGAAACACTGGCAGTCATCAAGAGGGAACTCTCCGATCAAGTCGCACACATCAAGAAGCTGGAGACCCTCACGAGGGAGCAGAATACTGAGCTCAAGCAGTACCGGAAGCAACACAAGGCGATCGAGGTGGTTGAGGAGGAGAAGAGGTCGCTGCAGACAAAGCTGCGCATGATGGATGACTTACAACGGCAGTTGGGAGAGGCAGAGCTGAGGAAGCAGGTCTTGGAAGAAGAGCGCGACTCCTGGACGTCGTACCTTGAGGCCGAGGCAGAGATACACGGCGAAGTACTCTTCGAAACCCCCCAAGACCTCGCGCGAGCCTTCATCCAAGAGCGCATAGAGAGAACCGATCTTCTCAACAGATTGGGCGAGATCAAGCCTGAACTCACTGTCAAAGACGCTACCATACAAGCTCTCGAAGAGGAGAAGGCCAAACTACAAGCCGAGATTCAGCAACTCAAGGCCGCCGGAAACACCGCCGCGACGAACAGTGCCGACGCAAAGGTGCGAGCGCGCCTCGAACGACAGAAGGCTCTCGCAACCAAGGAAGTCGACTTCCTGCGCGCCCAAGTCAAGGCTTTTGACGACGAAGAGCGTGAAATGCAGCCCGACACATTCGACGCTGCAAAGTCTGAGCGCATAAAGGAGCTTGAAGATCTCGTCGACCAATATCGCAAAGAGGTCGACACTCTACAACAAGAGTTCAACAACCTGGAGAAACTCGCGCCTGCGACCACAGGCCAGAAGCGCGCTCTCGATACAGACGAGAATGATGAACGCGTTGGCGAACTACGTCGGAAGAACCGCCAACTACAAGACGACCTTCACGCCCTGCAAAAGAAGCAAAAACTCGTCGAATCCGAATACAAAGCCCAGCACTCGCAGCTGAAGAAGCTAAAAGAATCCTCACGAACACGCGTTCTAGAGCTCAAATCCAACCCCACCGCCGACGCCGAAGCCCTCAAACTGAGCACCGTACGCAATCTCCGCGAAGCCAACGCTCAACTCATCGACCAGCTGGAGAACCAAAGGACACCCCCCTCCACCGTCCCCGCTGCCACGCTCGACGCCGCCCGAGACGAGCTCGAAGAAATAAAAACCCAGCTCGCCTCCTCTGAGAAGAAGATCAAGCGTCTCAAACAAATCTGGGCCGCTAAATCCCTCGAGTTCAGAGAAGCCGTCGCTTCCATCCTAGGCTGGAAGTTGGACTTTATGCCCAACGGCCGCGTCAAAGTGACCAGCATGTTCAAACAAGCGGACGAGGATGGAGAGAACAGTATAGTGTTTGACGGCGAGAACGGGACGATGAAGGTGTCGGGCGGAGAGCAGAGTGTGTTCGCGGGCGAGATACGCGATCAGATTGTGTATTGGGTTGAGGGCAGGAAGGAGATTCCTTGTTTTCTTGCTGCGCTTACGCTGGAGTTTTGGGAGAGGGGGCCGGGTGGGCAGACTATGCATGGGTAGGTGGTTAGAGGTGGAGATGGAGATTGAGTGGGTCCATGTGTATGGTATAGCGATCTGACGCTTGGTTCGTCGAATGTAATGATGATTTCAGAGTAATGATACAGGTGGTCCAAAATCTACCTCTCCCAAACAGTTTTCGATCTCCTACCCCTTCTCGACCGTTGAATGTATCACACCATACCCAACCTCCGCATCTCCCTCTCCATATTCTCATCCATCACCGCCCTCCTTCCCCACCACTCCACATTCCTTTCCCCATCCATCTGCCCGTCCCCTCTATCGACCTTCCTCCACCACCAGAACCAGCCCATGACCCAACACCACGCGAATGCCACCATGACGAGGAAATCGTAACATAGTAGGGACACTGTTGCGCCTACGACCCAATCATGTTGTTCCGTTGAGAGGCTAATTTGTTCGCCGAAGTCGTTGACGGTGGTGTTTTTCGTGGGGTTTGCTGTTGGTGTAGTTGGCGAGACGAAGTGGAGTGTGAGGGTAGTGGTTTGGTGCTCTGATTCGGTAGTCGCCGGGGTGGACTCAGTCGTAGTAATGAAGGTATTTGATGGCACTGTCTCGGTTGTGGTATCGGAGGGCTGAGTAAGGTAGATGAAGATGGGTGTGGTGAGTGTAGATGTATACGCCGTTGTAGCATCTTCGGCGAGTACTAATGCGCCGCCAGTGTAGTTCATGAAGATGAGGAGCGCGAGAATAGTAATGATGAGCATGATGATGGTGTCAACTCGGCAGCGTATCGAGGATGTGTGGTCTCCGCTTGGGTAGAATATGTCGGTAAGGACTGGAAAAGATATAAGAATCAAGGGATAGCATAGTCTTAAGAAGCACTAAAGCAGGTTGAGGAGAACGGAAGCGCACAATGGCTATGGAAGTGTGGTGAGGGTGGGTTGGTGGTGGAGGCAAGCGAGCTATTGTTCTCGTAGCCGTGAAAAGAAGCTTATCATATATACACAAAATTGCCCTCCTTCACCTCGAACGCCGAAACCCTGCTACAAGGCGTAAATTTTCATCATATTGTTCTCATCATTGCGCCTTGTCCCAAGGTAGCGCAAATGTAGATACCCAGTCCTCAACCTCCTTCTTGAGCTCGATGATCTCGGTGATGTCCTCGCCTTCACCAACGTACTCCTTGAACGCGGCTACACTGGCGGGGTTCTTGCGACCAGTGTCTTCGGCCTTCTTTTTGGCGTCCTTATCAAGCTTCTGGGTAATTCCGACGGCGCGGTGCACGACGTCAGCCACACGCTTGAAGTCCTCGGTCTGGAAGCCACGAGTTGTCATGGCGGGAGTTCCGAGACGCAGACCACCAGGCTTCATGGCGGACTTGTCACCGGGAACAGTGTTCTTGTTCGACGCGACGCCTACAAGCTCGAGGATGCGCTCTACTCGTGCGCCGTCTACGCCGCGGTCTTTCAAATCGACAAGGACAAGATGGTTGTCAGTGCCGCCTGAGACGATGTTGTAGCCAAGACCGCCGTTCTCCTTTGAGTCGCCGAGGCGCTGCGCGAGGGACTTTGCGTTGTCCAGAACCTGTTGTTGGTAGTCCTTGAACTCTTTGGTTGAAGCTTGTTGCAGAGCTACAGCCAGAGCAGTGATAGTGTGGTTGTGGGGTCCTCCCTGGTGGCCTGGGAACACGGATGCGTTGATGGGGCCCTCCAAGTCGTACATCTCCTCCTTGCCCTTCTTGTCAACCTTCCGCACACCCTTGCGGTAGAAGATCATAGCGCCTCGCGGGCCTCGCAGCGACTTGTGTGTTGTGGTGGTGACGATATCGGAGTGGGGGAACGGAGAGGGGATGACGCCGGCGGCAACGAGACCTGAGATGTGAGCCATATCGGAGAGGAGGTATGCGCCAACATCGTCTGCCAGCTTTCGCATGCGCTCGTACTCGATCAACCGACTGTATGCTGATGTGCCCGCAACGATGACCTTTGGCCTGTAAAGGTGAGCCAGTTCCGACATCTTCTCATAGTCGATGATACCAGTCTTCTCATTCAGCCTGTATGGGAGAGTCTCGTAGTACTTGGATACAGCGGAGATCTTCTTGGTGGGTGTTTGGTATCCGTGCGACAGATGGCCGCCATGGGGGAGGTCGAGACTGAGGATACGGTCGTGGGTGTTGAGGACGGCGGAGTAGGCGTAGAGGTTTGCGGGTGATCCGGAGAGGGCTGTGTTGTGTTAAGACATAGTATAGCAGTTTTATCGACTGACTCACGCTGGACGTTGACACCCCACTCGTCAGGGCTCAAACCGAATGCCTTGAGTGCTCTTTGCTGACAAAGGCGCTCGGCCTCGTCAATGTGCTCATTTCCTCCGTAGTATCGTGCGCCTGGGTATCCTTCCGAGTACTTGTCTATGGCGTCGTGTAAGCTTGAGGTTGTGGTGTGAGGATGCGCAGAACGTACTCTGCATCACGCTGCCGAGCGCATCGAGCACGGCTTGCGATGTGAAGTTTTCCGAGGGGATGAGGTTGATGAAGTGCTTCTGGCGGTTCTTCTCCTACAATAGAAGTATTGTGAGCTTCGTCTTCGTATCTGCGACCCGGGTATGTGGCAACGAACCCTGTTGATGATTTGGTAGACGGTGGGATCGGCTTGTTCAAGATCTTGGGAGAGGATCTACCGCTTGTTAGTATTTCTTCCCGCTTCATCCTGCTATCATAAAACGTACCTTTTGCTGCGCATCCATACTTGTCGCATAGCCCCGCCATTGTTGTGTCTGTATTCTTGCATGGTTGGTGGCAATTGAGGCTATGGAGCGAGAGGTGAGCTGGCGCAAAGGCGCTCTGCAGGCTGCTCTGAGGTTGGCCATGTTGGGTCAGTCTGGTATACACAGTGGAAGCGTGGCGCGACCTTATAAACGTGCTCGATGCCAGCCGGACTCGTAGTCTCAATGAGGCAACGAAACGATGGGCCCGCTTAATCACGGACTAGGGCGGCACTGGCAGGGGTCAGGGCCTCGGCGCCGTTTCTCCGTTCTCCGGCGGTAAAATATCGAACCTTCCGTCTCGCGTCCGCTCTTCTTTTCTTCACGTAACTAAACCCGAGATGATATGACTGCTTCAATTCAGCTGCATCCTCACTTGGCTGGCGCAAGCTGGCCGATGTGGGAGCTGTTGACACGCCCCGGCACCCACCACCTAGGGGGACGAAAAATTTTATGATCGGCTCGTTACGTAGGAAGCATCTGTTGATGCTGCTGTATTGTGTCCGGCGCGGTACGGTCTGGAGCACGAAATGTATAGTGTCTTCACTCAGTTCCGCTGTCGTCACCTTGTATGTAGCATTCCAATGTAATCGTTATTGTCACCACGTCTTGTTGTTGCTCATAAGAATTACTCACCATGAATGTGCCACACCTCAGTATGACGTCGACTATATTGACTCTACACCTTCACATAAGCAGGCGAAGCAACAGCGGTTCACTTTAACTCTCAGCATCCGTAATTGCTAATCGAGAAGCCGAACGCGGAACTGAGTTTTGTTCCTGCTAGATAACACGGCTGGACACAAGCTTCCCACTCACTTCTACCCCGACCCTGAGAGACCCTGATGGACCCACGGCAGTACCACTCGGCAGCTTCTTCACACACAGACTGTAATCAATTTCTGATAAGCGTTTTCAACGTGCGCTTTCGAGCTTCGTGCACGAAAGACAGGTGACAGCCTGCACTCAGTCTGTCAGATCGTAGGAACTTTTGAGCATGGATGAAGGACACTGCCCTCACCTCCACCAACCGACTGCCAAGGTTACTAGTAACAGTCCTTAGCCTGGAAAGCGCGCGTGGCAACGACCGTCACTGCCTTAGACGCGCTTTCTCTGTTTACTGACCCCGCGTCTACTGCATCAACCCCATCTTGACCGCAGCCGCAACCTCTACCTCTTCCTCTGCTTCTAACAGCGGTCATCCAACGGCTAAGCGTGACTGTTTCTTACACCGCTAACAACCTCAACTAGCAAGGTGTCTGCATATAAAAATCACATCATGGCGCCCAAACTCAAGACACCGAGCCTGCCTCCTCTCACGATATCGAAGAGTCGCGACTCGAGCCCAGAGCTAGGCAGCCCTTCCAAGATCACGCAGTACAACCAGAAGACAGGCCGTCCGGTTCGAAAGAGCGCAGGCAAGATTCAGAAAGTGGCAGGCTACGTCGATTTCGAAGACGCCGACTTTGACGCCTTGACCGAGAGTGAGTTGAGCGACGAGGAAGAAGAGGATGATATGGACCCGCGCAGCCGTTCAGACAAGAAGAAGAAGGGCGCACTGAAGCGCAAGCGCAGTCCTTCACCCCCGTCTCCGCGTCTAGAGCCCGTTGTCTACCGCCAGGAGCTCGATGACCTCACCGACAATGAGGATGCCGGCGCCTTTCATCGGAGTGCTCCGAAGAAGCCGCCCATGACCTTGCAGTTCAACGTCCCGCTAGGCTTTCATGGTCCACTCTTCGTCAAGCTCGACAGCACCATCCTACAGACCAACGAGCAGGGCAAACTACATGAGATGCAGCCAGGCAAATCGAACAAGTCCCGTGTTACAGGTCCGCAGCCAGCCGGAAAGTCCGCGGTACACAGCGTAGGCTTCACGGATCTGCCGCCCGAGCTAAGGAACACTATCTATCGGTACATCTTCGCTCGCAAGGACAAGACCTCGAAGCTCAGGATTCCGATGACGGTCAACGATCCCAAGGAAAGCCTGACCAAGTCTGGTCAATTCCTCAGGACCTGTAAGCTGGTGCATAACGAAGGCTGTTCGATCTTATACGGCGAGAACACATTCTCCTTCCACCGGCACTACGATACTCGAGGACCTTACTGGGAGCCAGTACCCAAGGAGATTGGTTATCAGGACGTACTGCATTTCCTGAGAATGATCGGCCCCGAGAACATTCAATACCTTCGCGATGTCAAATTCGTCTTCGATGACGCACGCCCAAAGGACACACCCTATGTCCGCTCCAACGAGGAGCGCCGTTATCTGAACGACGACTACCTGGCGAACTGCCTCCGCATCCTCCGCAACGCCAAGCTCCGCAAGGTCACAATGTACTTTGGCGGACGTCGGCAACTGGGCCGTACCGATGTCAGGTTCTTGGGCTACCTGGAGCAGATCAAGGCCGACGAAGTGGTGCGGGAGCCCGAGAAGTACCATCATGGTGCCGATAGGTTCATGAGCAGAATGGCCTGGCATGACCTGAAGGAAGCGATGGTGCGAAAGGACAAGCTCTACGTGAAGGAGTAGCTCAGTACTCCAGATGCCCCAGACACCATCTCGCGGCATACTACACATTACATGTACCTTGCGATCCAACCACTTCGGGTATCAGAACTGTCGGCTTCTGTCATGTTCTAATATTCTCATTTTATCGGCCTCATGTTCACATTCAGATTGCTTCGGCAACCTTCCAGTAGACCTAGCGATTGCTTTCACTCGAGCGGAAGTACGATGGCGACCGGGCGTTGGATGGCTATCATATGTGGTGAAGGTTCATTTTGTACAATTTACCCCCGGGCCCATGTTTCCTATCTGTCAGCGGATGACGTTGTCAGCCCCTGTTTGGCGACGGTACAGGCACTTCCTGCAGCACATCACATCAATGTATTTTCCCAACATAAAAATCCGAAGCATTAGATAAAATTCCTTCGTGCTGTCGTGATGATTGGTCCAACCCCTCATTATCATTCCTCGATATTACCGCCAATGGCACGTCCGGGCCCCAACAACGCACCGACGGCTAAAATGCGACATCCCGTAGCCCCGACCCCACCAGCTATTTCTCAGCCTGCCGCCGCGCAACGTGTTGATCCATGGGACAAAAGATGTACCTTGCATAAGCGAGCCGTGCGAACCCCTGCTTAATGCGGTACGCGATGGTGGTGTGGCTGCAGGGCAAATCATATACAGTAACATAAATCGAGGCAAGCACCGGGAAAACGTTATCTACGTGAAACATTGCTGCACGTAGCCGCTGCCAGTCGTTCTTGCGCATGCAGAAAAGAATGCACCTCGATGCGTTCGTGCATGCATCCCGTTACCGGGCTTGAGGGTCGGGCGGAACACGATCTGGAAGGTGGTCAGAGTTCTATTTAGCCTTTGTATACTATTTGGGCGAAGTTGGTGGTCGAGTTCATAAAAGTGGTTTGATATAGCCGGTTTGCCCGATGAGCTCCTCGGACAGGACAGCACGGGTCAGGGTAGTGATTCAGTGGGTATACGGTACGCGATGCACGTTGTGGATGGTCGGTGCGGGAGGTACGTCAGCGATCATGTACGGAGACCACGGAGATTTTGTGGAATTGGTTAGAGCGGAGAGTGATGTGAGGGGCTGGCACTTGGTGCCCGTAGCTTCTTGCATGTGTCTGTTCATTCATATCGTCGATTCGTCTAGACATCGTCATCGTTCGGTCCGGTGAGCGGTTCTATTTGATGCGCTCCTCGGGATTGCCGAGCATGTGCGTTGAACCCACTTATGTCGTCTTTCCTTTCCGCTTCTTGAACTCTTCTATCCAACCAGCTGCCTTGTCCTTTGGTATCACGCTTATCGTTACCAGACCGTCGACGATCTCTGGCTTTCCGCTTCCAAGCACTTTGCCCAGGCTCATCTTCTTTCCTACTTTGATCAGACCGCCGGCTGCAGTTTCCATGTAGGACTCTACGTTGTCGATGGTGTACTCGTGCTTCTCGTCCCATGGCAGCGGGAAGATGTAGTCGAGGTGTTCGTCTAGCTTCTCTTTCTCAGAGAACGCCTTGATGAAGTCAGACTGCGAGTGCATGGGATACAGCAGTATGACTGGCACCGTGAGTGTTGAGGAAGGATCCAGACTATTCTCCAGCTTGACAGTGGCGTCTTCCAGATCTGGGGGCTTCTCCGTGCTCCGCGTAAGGATATTCCGGCTCCTCAAGGCGAGTTTGAGTGTTACCCGCTCTGATGCAGCCTTTTCTTCTCGTTCGCGACGCGCCTTTTCGACGGATTCTATGTACTGCTTCCGAGCATCGATCTTGGTTTTGAGGGCCTTGAGAGGGGCGTTGTTGGCATCTAGGGCCAGGCCTCTGTCGCAAGCCCAGGCTGCTTCCTGTAGCTTGTCGAGTGCTAGACCAGCAGTGGCTGATCTGTAGAAGGCTTTGACGTTTGCGGGGTTGATCTTGAGCGTTGATACGCAATCTTGAATGCAAGAGCGATAGTTTTCTGCCGTGTGTCAGCAGACCATAGTCGAAACTTTGGTGAAGAAGCCATAATGCCTGTCTTCAGGGTGTGCTTGCAAACTCACTCTTCTCCAAATTGCATAATGCTCGGTTGACATAGACAGCCTCCGCAATCGCCCTTTCCTTCTCCGCCTCCTCCTTCTCGTCAAGCTCCACGGGAATAACGTCCGGACCTTCCGCATCTGGATCAGGGTTTGTTTGTGGACCTTTGAGCGCCGCTATTGCCTTATCGTAGAACTCTTTCGCGTCTGTCCATTGCTTTGCCCGCGCGCATTCGTTGCCTTGTTGCCGGAAGTTCTCAGCGATCTCCGCACGGGTTCCCTCGTACGCCATCGCTTTCAACGCCTCGAGCGCCATGTTTTCGCCTCCTTCGCCATCTGTTTCATCTAGACTGGTCATGAAGATTGGCATACGGTTCATCTCTTTCAGCAAGTCGTCTACTTTTTTCGACTTGACATCAGCCATCGCCGGTGGCAAATCTGCAGACGCCGCCGGTGGGCCATTTTGATCTGGTTGCGCCATGTCGCCTGTGTTGTTTCGAGGAATTCACAACTGTTGTCGCAAATATCACGATATGCTCGCTGTGACTGTCTGCTCGAATTTTCGGCGGATAGTCGCTTAGTCACGCGATGGCGGGGCTGCTGGCTTCGGGAACCCTGACGTCCCAACTTGCAATCACTGGCTGCCTGCCGTCGAGCAGACAACCCAGTTAGAGGGCACCACCAGCCACCCGCCTACAAGCTAGCAGAGCAAAGCAAGAAGGGATGGCGCAGGACAACGAGAGGGGCACGCTAAAATAGGGTCAGCCGGCACCGGCGCTTCCGCGTCATGCTATATCGTCTAAGCTTCTCGTCCACGCCGAAGGTTCAGGGCGCTGTAGCCGATTACGACGCAAATCTCCTATTTGCTTTTCTGAGACAACCACGAGGTCCAGTAGGGCCGAGCAATACCGACTGACACCTGACGAGGCATACATTGTGCGACAGTTGGATCGTGAGCTGTTATGTCGCGTGTCGGGTGGAATCATGGAATGTTCTGCTGATTGCCAGGCCGCCGTATTGCGCCCTCAGCTGTCCGCACATCAGGCCCACTCTCCGCTGGTGGACCAAGTACATACTCCTTGTTACACTCGGGGTCCATTATTCGTGAACCCCATCGGCGAAGTGTCGATTCAGAATGATGGTTGCGGGCGATTCCACCACACGGCAAGGCTGTTTATTTGGAGGCGTTCAACGAAACGTCAATCGATCGCGTTCAGGATGCCACTTGCACGTCGCGCGACGCCTTCAAACTGTATCCTTCCCGTCCGCGGGGGATTGCCCATTCGACAGGCTCAGCCTGGCCAGAGATCAAACGTCATGGTAGCGTGGATCTTGCTCTCGATTTGTTGGGGTAAGAAGACGGCCTGCGATCCTCAACTTTCACATGTGCCGAACTCCTTACTCGACTACCCGACTGACCATGACTGAGGACTGCTACAAATACACTCTGACATGATAACTAAGCATCTCACAAAAAGAACTCTGAGGCTGAGGTTTCCATTACTTTCAACTTGTAGAATTGCGTCGTCGATCTGGACTCGAGTTCGGCTCCTTTGCACCGCCAAGAGCGCACGGATGAATCCTTTCGTCTCAAAGTAGGAAGTCGACTACCTCTGCTTGACTCTCACCTGACTCGGCAGTACAGGATAAGGCTGCTCATTCATGCAACTGCCTACCAGTATGGCAATCCATATATGCCTCCTTTTTGAGGCTTCCAACAGGCATGGGATTGCCAGACCGAAACGTGATCAAAGTATCAAGATCGATGTTCTAATTACAGGCGATGGCTATAACCTAACGGTACCGCACTGGCGCACCGGAGCGTTGGGCGCCATCGAGAGTTTGATAGCTCGGACCGGGACACGAACGTGCCACTTGGTCCAAAGCTTTCCACAGTGGGCCAAGTTTGCGGCGTGGGCAGAGGCTGAAACCCTGAATCACAGCTCATCAACAACGCCAGACTACGCCGGAGGCGTCCAGAATCACTGATAGGGCAAGGCATACGCGGAGCTTTGGACGGCGATAATATCCATCTAGCAAATTACCGTCCACGCAGCTTTCGTCTGAAGCCAGCTGCGCCCAGGGTCGTATGAACTTGCGCCTCACATCTGCTGATGCTGCTCCTCTCGCGCATCTATCACACCCCCTTCGTCAACACCGTTACTGCCACCCGCATTCGTTACCACCTACCCCTTGTCGGGTCATTTCCTTCACCTCGCTAAGGTATTGGCCGTCGTCGCGGGACGCATTTAAGGGAACGTTGGACCTAAATGCGCAGCCAATGACGCTTAGCTGAAAAGCGGAAAGCGGATGGCCTGAGCCAATAGTGTCCCTGTAGTCCAGGGGACCCTCGGCTCAGCCTGCATGCAGGGATACTTGTGCTCGCTAGTGCGGAGATGTGCATAAGCAGATGGACTCGGACATCGAAACAAATTTGAGCAGGCACAGATGGGGTTTGATTGATCCCAGGAATCCTATTCGTGCCTTTGGCCATAGTCCCGCCTCCTCTTGGACTGTGCGGACTTGTGCCTGCGTTCCGGGATCCTAGCTGATGCATGGGCGATCACAGCGATTTCATGCTCAAGTTGTGCCTGTCCCTCCTTCTCCTCCCTACGCTCCGTGCCGTTGACGACACACGGGTATCATTCTCGTAGGGCCCGCTGCCCGTTGCTTGACAGTTCTTTTCTTACCATCAAAAGTGTTTTAGCACGCGCCATTAGTCGCTTTCTTCATCTCATTTGCATCGTATGTATGGAATGAGTTGAGCACGTTTCTCTATCTATCGACTTTCACCATTGTCACGTCATTCCTTTGAACCGTAAGTACGCGCCATTGATTCGTGACTGGACCTATTCGTTACGACAGGACTCTTTGATTGGAAGCCATTTGGTACTGACCTCCTACTGCAGTATCGAGACCATCCGAACGCTGCCGTACCGTCGATATATCTACCCCACGTAATCCGACCCGACGCTATCCACTATCCTTGAGGACAAC